TAAAACTCCTTGTTGTGTCCCGATATTTCCATTACTGGAAAAAAGGCGTCACAACTTAAAAATTTGGCCTTGATAGAATCAAGCAACTACTGCCCATTGGTGGGAAAGTGCTGATTAATTGTGTCGTAGTCCTGTGAGAAAGTACGCCCAGCGCAAAGCACTAATTATGGGCCCTGCCTGGCCGAGAGAAAAGGGGGCAAAACTCTCAACAAAGGCTCATCTCATATCTCAAGACAATGAGGAGCCAAAAGAATAGGAGAAAGGAGAAGTTAATGAGCTGTGTCACCTGGCATCTGTTGATGCTGGGACAAAGCCTGACTGGAGTGTCTGTTTGTGTAAGTGAAAGAAAAATGAAATGTTTTTTATGTATGTTTACATGCGGTTCATCACTGTGTGTCTCTTCTTCCTCCTGCAACAGGCACGACAACGCAGCAGGTAAAAGTAACTCGAAGGTGTGAATGAAAATGATGAGTAAATTTCCTCGTCTAAGGTGCAGTGTGATCAGTGTGTTTCAGCACTTTCTATCTCAGAAATCTGTCAGTCATGTTTTTGCATGCTTTGCGCTCAGTAATGCAGGAAGTCAGTCAGAGTTGGGGTACCGATAGAAAGTCTAGTCAGTCTACAGTACATAATGTCGTCATACTAAAGTTTTTCATAGTTTTGCTCTAATTTGAATGGCCAGAATAATTTATCTGATAGCTATTAACTACTGTTTAGAGCTATGTTGGAGTGTTTACACTACAACAGACTTAAAAGAAGCTCCAGCAGCTACTCAGACGACAACGCTGAACTAATGCGGGTAAGAGATGACTAGGTTTACAGTGGAAACTTCCTTTGAAACACCTCAGTGTGTTTGTGCGTGATACAAAAGCTCTGATATGTTATCCAGATCACATGAAATCTAATAATGGGCTTATACATGTGATAATAAACTGATAAAAAAGCAAAGTAAATCATCTTTCCCATCACAAATACTTCCATTCCACATACAGTGTATAGCCTGTATCAGAGTAAGAAAGGGGACAACGTTATATAAGCTTTATCAATTGATGGTTTTTATAATGCCATAGTGGCTGCCACTACCCATTCTAAACAGCCTTGTTACCAAAACAGTTGTGATATTTTTTATATATCTGTTAGGAACAAAAGGCAACACTTCCTGTGCATAAAATTTAATTAAACTAAGAACTGAAGGTTTGTGTATGAAAGCAGACGTATGAGTATTTTGTATTTGTGTGAGAGGTTTTTGTATGTGTGCAAAATATGATATGATAATATTCTTTTGTCTATGTCACTTAAGGTTTTAGCAGAATTTCACTTTGCTGTCACTGACATACAGTTGCTACAACTACTGCTGCTTATATACCACTACTCTCACTTCATCAGCTGTACATGCGTGTGTGTCAGGTACATCAAAGTATCAATTTACCTTTCATATCCAACACATCAGTGCAGACGCAATTGCCGGTGCAGTGAAATCCAAAAGCTGTCACAGCTGTAGGTGGATCTCCAGCCGCTGTAGAATTCTATAGCTGCTGTATCTGACTTCAGTTTCTCCTATGTGAGATCCAAAAAGGTACATCTTATCTTATAAATCCATAAAGTTGGGAAGCCTGTCAATGCAGCCGAAGCTGAGATTTCCTGGCTTTTATTCCATTGTATCAAGTTGATCTTTAAAAACATTTTAAATTACTTTTTTCAAAATGCAACTTGATAGCATCTTTTGCTGATCCTCCATGCCTGGTAAACACCCATGGCTTTTAGACTTTACACCCAAGTTTTAATGCAAAATTGTTCAAATTTTGAAGTCGCAAGGTTTAGCTTAGATGACATGATTTCAGGATTATTTTTAGAAATCTTCTTTAAGAGAATACTGTTTTTACTTGCTGTGTAGTACTTCTCGTGAAGGATAAACTTATGTTAATGCGTACAATTGGTGTGAATATCCCTTTAAAGTTTTATTTCAAGGCGCAATGTGTATTCCAATCCTAATTCAACCACCACAGTTTGCATCACAAGATTTGAAGCTCTCAGATTGGCTTAGAGGTCTTTAGATACCTCGACTATACTAATAACAATTAAATCTGTATGTTTCCTGAGCAGGTTTCTTTTGTAAAAAAAAAATGCATGTTTTTAGTTGTAGAGAAAATGTACTCTACTGGTCACAATTTACTTTCTATTTATGTGTTTAAACTCATCATGGATTAAAGGTTGAAGCAGTGATCAATATTTTACATTCAGATGGAATAATATGGAAATTTAACACCTACTGACCTTTAGTTTGACCCTTATTCATAACATGCTGGCCACATGTTGTTATGGGGAGAACACAGAAGAGGTCTGGCTTTCCAGAAACTGTATGTACAGTAAGCACATTTGTAATCCTGTAAAAACACAACTCAGCCATGTGTTCAAAAATACTTTGAGAATCAGTGTTTCCCCTGTGGATTTCACAGTCATAAAAGGCGACCAGTCGACTGTGGTTTCTCGTTTAGCATGAGTTAGAGGGGCGGCAGCAGCAGTTCTGTTTTGACAGTAAATGACGTGACGTGAAACTACATTTAACGGCACAAGGTATATTATAGCTTGAACTCTGTTTTGTTTGGCGATGGTTGTTTTTCACTGACCTTGAGGGACAATTTCAGTAATATTCAAAGAGACAAAACTTGTTTTGTGTCTCAAACAGAACAAATTTCTGTTGACAGGGCTAATTGTTAAGTGTGTGGTTGCTGATCTCGAGGCCAAAGAACCACTTTTGGTTGTCCCACTAAAATTTGTATAACTTATGCAAAACCACAAAGCTTTTCTCTAAATTGACACTGCTTTCTGGTCATACTGTATCCATTGTGCACAGAGATTTTCTAATAATAGAATATAAACTACTTGGCAAGCAGGACTGCATTTAAAGATTCCACCTCCTTTGAAAAGGGGCTGGGCTTTGCAAAGGGAATTCTATGTTTCATTTTGAAGTTATTGGTCCAGTTCCAAGACCATCTAGCCTCCAATGATCAAAGGTCGAGACAGAGAAAAGCCTAGCGGGAGGCTTATGCAAAAATGTCGTCTCCTTATTGCAAATGGGCCGACACGTTGGAAACCATCGGCGCTCGTTTAAATGTCAATATACCCAGATGCAGTTTGGCTGTGCTTGGTCAAGTTTGAAGTATGTGGATGGGAAAAAAAGAGAAAAGCTTCTTGCTCGCATAAATAGAATTTTGAGGGTTTCGAAAGTTGCATTGATTAAATTCCTTGACCGACCATGTACAAGACTGATTTTCACTCCCAGTCCTTCAGAGCCCTAAATATCTACGCACAGTGATGCACAGGACAATAGCTTGACAATTTATATGGAAAACTGTGCCCTTAACTTATTTATTTTAATCTTTTCAAAGGTTAACCTTGTTCCTAGGACACATTAAAGACATATTCTTGTCTGTGGTTGTCGCTTGTTGGAGGAAATGTTTCTTTTTCCCTCTCAATAATATCATCATTCTACAGAGGAGATAATAAGCAGTTGAAAGAGATGATGACAAGATGAAGGGACATAAAACATTCCTTGAAATCCCGCAGTCATCTTAGCTACCTCTCTCACTGCCCCCCCTCCCTGAGACAAGCAGCGGCGATCCATTATGTTAATGGTGAATTACCGGGTCACACATCAAGCACTATGTTTCCACCTTTTAAAAGCAGGCCAGACGTCCAAAATCCCATGACAGAACGGGGGACTTCTGGGTCTGTTGGAGGTAACTACCGGAGTGGAGTGGAGTGGAGGGGAAGGGAGGGTGGGGAGGGGGGGGACCTGATAGCATCGCTAGGAATTTAAACAAAAGTATTTTTTTCTCCCTCAAAGCTGCCATCTTTCAGTCTGACGGTTTCTGTAAACATCATTCCAGCACACAGCATTATAAGACATGCTACTCCACATTCCTTCAGCGCTTTTAAAAGATGGAAAAATGTCTAAAATATTGTATGTTTACTGGTCTGGAGCACGGAGCATTTACATTTAAGTAAAATTGTGTTTTAAGTGCTCAAAGGTTAGGAAAGGTACATCTCTGATCATCTTCACAAAAAATATGATTTTTTGTGTGTGTTGTGACTTCTGTGCCACTCACAGCAGCTGTGATGTGGTTTATGATGCAACATTTAATCCTGTTTCATTAATACATGTGTAAAAAAGAACACATAAATAAGATAAAATGTTACTTTCTTTGCCAGAAATATTTTTTAAAATTATGTAATGATATCAATGTTTAAAAAAAGCACCAACTGTGAACTCTTAGCGATATAAAAAGCCTTCAGAGATGTTGCAACAGACCTTTCTCAATTTAAAAACCACTGACCTTAAAAGCAGTCCTCACACTTTGGGTTTGTATATAAAAATGCATACCTTGGCAGTATGCAGAGAAGGGAATGTACTCAATGTCCAACCAATCGCTACCTGCAGCATTTCTGTTTTAGGCAGTATGATATTCTACATGCACATCATAGAATTCCAGTCTAAACCGAGGCATAAAAGCACTTACCTTTACCTTTCTCTAAAGTGCAATAAAGACATAAAATAGGTCTTTTTTTAAAATATAGTCCTCATTTTATTAACAGAGGCCAAATAAAACTCATCACATTTTATTTACAAAGGGAGGCAATAAATATCTTAATAATAGTCATAAAATTATTTTTGCTTACATTTGTTTTTAAAAAATCATAAATGTGTCATGTTGTTAGTAGCAACTCATACAAAAACCTGCCAGCGGACAGGTGAATACACACTACTGGTGAAAAGAGGGCTGGAGTTGGTCGTCAGTGAGAGAAGGAATGACAGAAGAAGACTTTTCCCTTTCGGATTCAGACACAAGCGTCGCTGAAAATGTTCCCAATGTCCTGGACGAGTTGAGGAGAAGTCTTAATTGTCAAAATGTGGATTCATGAAGTGATCAGAGTCGGTCAGAGCTACAGTGCTGCTGTCTGTGGATCACTGATCTGACAAACAAGCACGGGCGGGATAAGCTCTCCCAAAAGCATCTTTTGAGACTTTCATCCAGTGAGAGTGAAAAGGAGCGAAGATGAGCTCACAGTGAAAAGATGATTTTGGAGGGGGAGGGAGGTGGGGAGGCAGGGGGGTTCAGCTCAGTGTCGACTGAATGGTTCTTGAGATTAACTGAACGCAGACAGTCAGACTAGGTAAAGATAAACAAAAAGTACAAGGAGGTAGAGGAAGTCTATATCACCAACCCCAAAATATTAGCTAGCTCACACTTAAAGAATCACGGCATCCTTTTCTGGAACAACTTTAACACATGTGAGGAAGAGCTGTTAAAAAGGTCCAAGGGGGAGACGAAAGGGATTAACATGAGTCTCCCAAATGGGATGAAGTTGGAAGACTTAGTGGATTTATGAATAACATCAGCTGTTATATTTTTGTTTGCATTGTTTTTTTTGCGTGTGTGTTTTAAGAAGACTAAAGCCGCGGCTGGTGCCCGACTAGTCAAAGCATGTCGTGTTTTAGCTGAATCACAGGCTCCATGGAAATGTCAAGGAAATCACACACAGCTCTCAGAGGGTTCAGCGCATTCCAGGAGCCACGAGTGAAGCTGAGGCTGAGACAAACGGCGGGGAGAGAAAAAAGAGGAAGAGAAAGAGAGAGACCTGTAAAATATTGCACTCAAAGCTACACAGTTATCCCGGCAGCACAGTGTCACCTGCGACTGCCACCTCTCTCCGTTTCATCTCCATGGTGTCTGATTCCAGTGGAAAGTATGGGATCCGCGTTGTCAGGGGCAACACAAACAAAAACCGACAGGTATTCCAATAAATCTCTAGTTGGCTGATTTTTATAACATTGCGTCAGCTCCTGCTTTAGCCCCCATTGTCAAAAAGAAAGCATGCCTTCAGCTTGCGGTTCAAACGTAGCTGAGGACGACAGCGACAGGAATTCTCTCAGAGGTCCTTTAGTTTATCCAGTATAAATAACATGACAGACACGTTAGCACAATGACATCAACCCAGAAGAATCCAAGAGTTAGGAAATATTCAGTCATCCTGAAATACAAAAATAAAACATCTTTGACTTTTTTTTGTTCTTTTTTTGTCTGTCTCTCTTTTACAGAAGTGAAGTCTTTAAGGTGATTCTTTTAAGACAAGAAGCTTGAGATTTTCAGTTACAGTTTTGTAAAAAAAAAAATTAGTGCTGTCCCATTGGTCCCATCAGTTCCTCTTGGAGTTGGGTTTTAATCGCCGAGCCCTTCGTGTCCGCTTAGTTACTGTGGTGAAACGAAACTCCTCCAGTGGGTCCAACCTGCCCTTCGGCTGGCGCTTCATGAAGTGGACTTCCTGTTGCCTCTGCGTGGTCCGGTCCCCTTTCTTGGGCCGACCCTTCCTGTTGAAGCCGAGGTACCATCCTTTGTACTTGGCCGACACAAGAGCCGTGTAGTTGTTCTCCAGGAATTCCTCGACAAAGACGCACTCCTGCTTTCTTCCATCGGGCTGAAAGAAGGGGAAAAAATAGGACAATAATTAATTATTAACATGGCAGCATGACCTCTTATTCAACTGCCATTCTGGCTTATTTCCACTGGGGCTCAGAATGGTTTGCTTTTCTGTTGGGGTTTTGTCGTTTTGTAGGTGTAAAATAGTATAAAGTCTAAAATTCTAAAGTTTTTACTTCACAAATATCACATTTTTTAAAACACTAAAAAGCTAACAGATACATTTAGGCAAATAAAAAGACCATTGGGGGATAGCATGAGATTTGAGTCAAGACTAAAAAGAAAAACTTGGCTTAAACTGAAGGTTAGTTTACTTAGAATAGAAAAGGTTAAATGTAAATGTATTCACCTTCACATGACTAGTGATCTGACCTACACGCCTTTATTCTGTACTGCTCTATTGTAATATGAAACTACTTCCTGTCTGGCTGGGCCTTTTCACAGAGTTTAAATAACTGCAGTCTCTTTTTCACTTTATGGGCTCGGACCAGGTCCGCCAACAGAGCATGATTATTGCTGGTCTCTATTCTGACTGAATTCTGACACAGGTCACAGCATACCGTTTGCAATATCATTCAATTCTACAACACTCACTGTTAACAGATTTCTTGGAGACTTTTTCTTTGGAATAAAGTTCTACTGAAAACTCTCCACAGTGTTTCTAAAGTGCTGCTGAATTTTTAAATTAGGGGTGGCAGTAAAAATCTCAGAGACAGATATCTCAAAAGTCGGGCTCATTTATCTTCATATATACATAATAAAACGGGTTAGCCAGAAAAAAATATTTCCTATTATTTGCATAAAATTAACCTTTAAAAATCCTGATGCCAACACTGGGGAGTTGACTGAATCTGTCCACATTACTGTGATTTAAAGTGCGTTTATCACTTTCTGAAATCCACCAACAATCAACAATTTAAACGTCATTTGATCTGATTTTTAAAATAATCCTACAGTGGTTTAAAGGAGGAAGTAAAAGAACATTTTTTAAACAAATGAGGCCTTGGCAACTTAAACTCAAAATGCATGTTTCTAACAGATGACCATGATGAGAGAGTGAAAACTTGTGTGAATTACTGCAGCCCGGCCGACGCTGACAGCATGAGTTATTGATGCAACAAAATCACACGTGTGCCTCCACAGTGTACGTTCTCAAATATTAACTTCTTTTCCATATCGAAGCGGTCGTCCGCAGAGTCACATGCAGTCATCCCACGCTTGTGGCCACCTGGTGTGACTAAGTGATATAATTGCAATGGCATTCCTCCTAAGTGACCATTAGTCTCTCAATGCATTGTGGTGATTGCAGTCCGTAATTGACTGATCGAGTGTCAAAGGAGTAGGCCGATTACGTAATGGAAGAAGGGCTGTGAGTTATCAAAGGGGTTTTGTTAGGGTGTACAAAAACAGCAGGAGAAAGCAGATCTAAGGGCTGCGTTCAATTCAGCCTGGATTAAGAGCTCCCTTTAAAATATTCATTTTGATATTAGAAAGTGGCGATGTAATATTGTCAGTGAAAATATTGAAGGAAAAGTTTTCCCAATACTCCTAAAATGAAAACCAAAAGATACTCACCCTTCCGACTATTTTGCCCTTCTCGTTCATGCAAATGTAATGGTCGCTCTCTTTTCCTTTTATTCGAATGTGGCTCCCGAAGGTTTCTGTCTCGACAACAAGAAGAGCTGGAAAAGAAAAAGAAAACGTACACTCTGTTAAGGACAAGCATAAGTCTTCCCACTCACATAAACATGGTTTAAGGATTCCCATACATTTAAACAAATCTGGTATGTTTTTCTCACTTATGCTCAGTGGTGTCTGGCTTCCTGTACTTTTTTCAATACTCTTCAATACTCCATTTATTTATTTATTTAAATTCCCCACATATTTAAGACCTAAAATTTATAGTGTTTAATTTCCAGTCCTGTAAAGGATCACTGCAAACAGAAGGCTTTACAGTGAAGGGAAGGGGAGTCTCATAAAGAAAACTTAGATATTTAGCCTACAATGTGCATTATGAAACTGTTTACTTTATAAATACATTTTTCATCATATACACCACCACAAGCAGTCAACCACCAATATTAGTTGCAGCAGAAACCAAATTCTCTTTAATCACAATAAGGATTGAAATAATTTTAAAGAACAGCTGAACACATCATAATTTTCGCACACTTTGTTGGAGAAGAAAATGCTCATGCAAGTGTTTTGCAGTGTGTGTTAAATCAATGGTCCGTGCGTTTATATAGGCCCAAAATTTATCTCCAGGATCCTTTCAGAAGTTCTGTAATTTTCAACTATTTAACTATGATGACTTTTATTTAATCTATATACAGCAAATTATTTCATGTGTATATATTATATTATTATCTAGTTATT